GGAATTCCTGCCTGACCCCTGCAGATGGTTGTCTGAAGCCCTGAAGCATGAGCTTTTAGGAACATAAGAAATAAACCAGAAGTGAGCTCCAAGGCTGTTGAGCCCTGTTCCCTACCATCACAAGCAACCCCATCATTCAATCGCACTCTCTCTTAAAGCTAATTAAATTGTTTGTCCTCACAACGCTTATAGGAAGCTATTCTAGAACCTCACTCCTCTGATGACAAGAAGTCTCCTCCTAATTTCGAACCTGAATTTGTTCATGGCCAGTTTATATCCATTTGTTCTTGTGCCACATTATCCTTTAGCTTAAATAGCCCTTCACCCTCTGTGGTATCTACCCCCTTGATGTATTTATAGACAGTAACCATATCTCCTCTCAGCCTTCTTTCTGCCAGACTAAAGAAGCCAAGCTCTTCCAGTTTCCTCTCATAAGCCCTCCATTCCCCTGATCAGCCTAGTAGCTCTTCTTTGCACCTGTTCCAGTTTGAATGTATCTTTCTTGAACATGGGTGACCAGAATTGTAGACAGTGTTCCAGATGGGATCTCACTAGTGCCTTGAACAGTGGATTAATATTTCTGTATCTGTACTGGAAATGCCTCACCAAATACATCCTAGGATTGTTTTTGTCTTTTTATTTCTGAGACTTTAGGGTGTATTAGCTTCATACTTTTGCTTCACTGGGGACTTAGGCACCAAACTCTGTGAGGTGGTGGGGCTTAGCACACACCTCTATGGTTAGCATCTCCCATTGGCAGCTCCCCACGTAGAGTGTTTGCTTTTGTGGATCCATCTCTGAGGTCTCTCTCTCCACATTCATTGTATACGGAGCTTAGGTACCTAACTCAGGATTTGTGAATCACAGGGGTATTCCTGTGACTTGCCTGGTGCTTAAAAACTAGCCGTTATGAAACTGATCATTGTAATGCTTCAGGGGTTGTCTACACTACGCAGCTTTTAGCGACAAGGCTGTGTCAACACAGCCTTGTTGCTAAAAGTCAGCATGTGTGAACGCTCTCTATCGGTATTTTGTCGGCACTTTTGCCAACAAAATACTTCCAGGCCCGCGAGTGGCCCTGCCGACAAAGCCTCGTTCACAATGCTACTTGCTTCCGCAAAACTTTTGTCTTTCATGGGGTGTGGAGAGGGAAGGGGAAGGCTGGGGCTTTTTTAAGTACCTGTGAAAGACAAAAATTTTGTCCACAACATCGCAGTGTAAACAAGCCTTAAGTCCCTTTGTGAATCTAGCCCTTGGCCTTCTTTCTCACTGCTAAGAAAGGTGACATTTGTTTTGTTTAGCATGGGCTAACACTAATGTTTGGCTCTCTATTGAGATTAAAAACACAGTGAGGACAGGGCCGTTTGGTTTTAGCAGGAGGAAAAGGCATAAGAAAATAAAAATAGAATAAAATCAGGGGGCAAGATGCTTATATGTTTGTGCAAAAGTAGAGAAGTACAAATTTTGTTTTGAAAACTTGATGTTTTCAAATAGACTCATAGACTTTAAGGTCAGAAGGGACCATTATGATCACCTAGTCTGACCTCTCGCATGATGCAGGCCACAAAAGC